GCTAGGTTCATTTTCAAAACACCTAGTCTGATGCTCTTCTGGTTTGCGGACTACACTTAGCTGTGGAAGCACCACCATTCTCCCTAAAAACTCTTCATCTTCATTTATTATCTTGAGGGTGGACAATCACTGCTCCAGTCAGCTCATCTCATCCTCTGACTTGCACTTGTTGCATGTGCAGGCCATATTACTCTCAGGTAACAAAACAAATATTTGCCCACTTGTTACAGGTCACCACCACTGTGGGACCTCCTTGGTCCATCTTTTATGCAACCCTAGTGATTTTGCCTTGGGGGGCTGTTGGGACAATTGGTGCTTTCTCTTGTCCACACTAAGAGTAAATTTGAGGGTGTTACTAGGAGGAAAACAAGAGTGTGCATGTGTGTGTGGGTGGAGCGAGGGGAAACTAAAGGGAAAGAAAGAAGAGAAAATAAGAGGGAAAAATATTTAGGACTATCCATTGACCTCCTTTGCCAAACTCCTGCTTGCTCTCCTCACTCACTCACTGTGGATATTTGCTCCCTGGGAGGCTGGCTGCTTGTATCGCAGAAGCCCAAGACCAGTTGGTGCAGTTTGCTCTATCCTGCTCAGATTCAGGAACATTGAGCCTATTCTGCATTGTGACACAGCTTATGACCGTCTTGCAGGCTAACAACTCAGCTCTACCAGCACATCATGGCCTTGGAATTTGCTGTGCAAGAGATCAATGAAGACACTCAGATCCTGCCGAACATCTCTGTGGGCTTCGAGATCTATAATTACTATTTTCGTTCAAGCTTGACATTTCTTTCTGCCATGCAACTTCTCTCTACAAAGAGCAGATTAGTTCCTAATTATAAATGTGATAGCCAGGTAACTCCAGTGGCAGTGATCGGTGGACCTAACTCTGAAGTCTTTCTGGACATGGGAACTCTTCTGTGCCCCTACAAAATGCCCCAAGTAAGAGAGCCACTTCTTATTCCTCCCTTCAGCACATTTTCACAGTTACGCTGTTGAAGGTATAAAGCATAGGAGAGAAAAAGGCGCATGGCATCAGCCATAGATGAAGACAAAAAAGAAACTCATTTGACAAGACTTTTTGTTAGCTTGGTGCTACTATCAGGTGCTGTTATCTCTTCCTAGCACATTCATGTAGTCATGTTTTGGTGCATGTATGCACATCCTCAAATACACGCATAGATTTTACATTAGCATAGAGAGATACAGTACCTATAAATGAAGATCAGAAGAACCAAAGGATCCTGGAGGATCTCTTCTATATGGCTACATTTGGATTTTTCAGAACTTACTTTATAACATAAATATTAGATCCCTAAAGTAAAATATTCAGCGTGGGCAAATAAGAATGACCAGGGAATGAATTAACAGCAAAATATATTTCATTATTTTTCATCTTAGAAAATATGTGAGGCATAAATCCTAAGCAACTCTTGAAATAGAAAATAGAGGTCTAAAGACACATTAATATATTTGAATAAAATCATTTGACCAGGAACTTCAGTAGCTGCACAAAACTAGCCACTCGGCCAAATAGAAGAAAAATTAATATGATGGAATGCAAATGACACTAGACATTTCCTGTAATCCTGGAAAAATAAAAGGTCACAATAAAAGAATCAGATCACAATAGAAGAACCAATAAAATAATGCATGTCCAATTGGCTGCCACCTTATGAGAACGTGAAATGTCTACATAAGAAAGAGATAAATGTCTGCATTTATCTCCCAGAATGAAACATGTCAAAATATTTATTTATTTATTTATTTGGGATATTTTTAACCTGTCCAATCACTCTGCATCTCTGAACAGCTTACAAAAAATATTACAGCAAAATATTAAATCTTGCCAATGTAAATGCCTTCCTACATTCAGAAATGGTCTCATTTAGCAGGTATACTTTGATTTATAAAATCATTCCCACAATTCCCTCTTTTTTTCATCTCTTTTAGGTTATTTATGGCTTTTCTCCCTTCATCAATACAAACGTCCAAGATGTTTTCTTTTACCAGATGTTTCCAAGTACATTTCATCAGTATGAGGGCATTCTGCAATTGCTCCTGCATTTCAGATGGACATGGATTGGGTTCTGTTCTACAAGTAATGACAGTGCAGAGAGATTGATTCAGCATATAGTTCCAATGTTCATTAAGAGAGGTGTATGTTTTGCCTTCATAGAAATATTGCCTAAAGTTTACTTTACTTCTGAAATAAATGAAGACCTGACATTGACAGCTGGAAGAGTGAAGGTGATGCTTATGAGTACTGCCAATGTGATTGTCATAAATGGTGAAATTCATTGCATCATAATACTGAGAATGTGGCCCCAGCTTTTGCCATATGAGGGTTTATCAATGAGGTCTAAAGGAAAAGTGTGGATTATGACAGCTGAGATGGATTTCACCTCCTTCTCCTTTCAAAGAAATATGGATATAGACTTCATCCATGGCTTTTTATCCTTTGCAATTCGTTCAAAGGAACCTTTAGGATTCCAGAAATTTCTCCAGAAGAAACAAATTACCTCTGAGAAAGAAGGCTTTTTTAAGATGTTCTGGGAAGGGGCATTCAAATGTTCCTTCCCCAGCTCCAAGGTTGAGCCAGAGGTCGAGGACATTTGCAGTGGGACAGAAAAGCTGGAGACTCTTCCTACCTCTGTGTTTGAAATGCACATGACTGGTCATAGCTACAGTGTGTACAATGCTGTCTATGCTGTAGCAAATGCTTTGCATGCCTTCGTATCATCCAGATGCAAGCACAGAACAAGTGTTTATGGATGGAGATGTGCTCATAGAAATGAAGTTTCATGGCAGGTAATGCTTCATCCATGTCAATGTAGGATTCCT